ACTGGGCAGAACTGAACCCACGCTATTTACAGTTCACTAAACATCTCCTTAAACATTCCCGCACATGTATGACAAGCTATAAATACTATTCATTTGTAACTAAAGTGTGTGGTTTTGGTAATTACCACCAATTTTCTTTGCCAGAATATTGGTGACATCCATAGACAGGAGAATTAGGGAGGTGTCTCTATCCTGGTTCTAGGATGAGCTCCTCCTTTTTATCTTTATTCTTTGTCTTCTGTTTCTCTGTTATTCCCACATTGTCTTCTTGTCCCATTCAACTGCATATCCCTTTCTAGTTTACATTTTAATGATCCCTTGATTTTGGTTTGGGCTGGTATACTAGATGAATTCTATATCGTAAATGTGGTTGAATCTGTCACAAACCACACAAAAAAATACACACTGTAGGATCTAGTATCTTTGTCCCCGCTTTCTCTCTAGTTGCAGGGATACCTTTCCATATTTGCTGCTTTTGGGTATGTGCAATACTTCAGCCCAGGGAGGTGTGACCTCCCCTAATACTTTGATTGCAAAATGGATCTGCTGCAGTGGCTACATTTTGGAGTGTTTTGTGTCTGCACTGCAGTGATGAGCTGTGTCTTATAGCCTCTCCTGGCATTTGGCTGAATGAAACCAGTTTTTGTGTAAGTATGACCCTAAGAAAATAATCCCCTGCTTAATGAGAAGCCTGCTTCTTTTTTACTTCCTTTCCTTCCCTTGTAGATAGGTATGTTTTTACTTACCCTATGCCATTGAATTTTCAGATTTCTCTCTGAAGGTGATGCTGACATCCCTGTTTTGCATGCATGTAGTAGGACTACGAAGCCTTTCCATATGGGTGCTATCCCAAAGGTGATCCTCTAAACAACGTGTGACCCAACTCTGTGGAGATTTGACAAGTTAAGCTTCACCTGTACCCAGGAGAGATCCCTGCGGTTCCTCTGCTCTGGCCTTGCTTCATTCCCGTGCTGGATTTGAACCCAAAACTCTTGGTATCCATTTTTTCCTTCTCCACTGTAGTTCCCTGAAGTGCCAGCTCCATTTTGGGCTTTGGGGGGGTCCTTCAGTGCATAAAACAGATTTCTCCTCTTATGCTGTTTACATTCTAGTGAGGGGAGAGAGAGACAGAACATTAATCTTAAACATTGCACATTAGTAAATGATGTTTGATGTGAGAGGTGAGTACAATGGGGGAAAAATCAAGGAACAGAAGGAGCCTGTTGGGCCCTGCTATTTTAAAGGAGTTGGTCATGATAAACTTCAGTGAGCCCCTGACAGTCTTGGTGTCTGTGTGGACAGCATTATGGGCACAGGACACGGCTGGCGTAGGGGACTTAAGGTGGAACATGAGTTGTTTGTGGGTGAGTGATGAGGGACAGAGTGGAAAGAGCTGTAAAGGTGTGGTGGGGAGGCCAAATGATGAAAGGCTCTGTAGGCTACTGTAGGATGTAAATGCAGTGCCATACCTCTCAGCTACAACCAAGTCGATTTTCATGAGCAGCTTTATTCAACATTCTTTACAAGAAAACCATCACTTACCCAGTCATTGTGGCCTCTGCTGGCCAAATCCTGCTGCACAAATATGCTAGAGACATTCAATCTCATTTCTAGCAAGACTTGGCATAATTTTGAAACTGTTCAATCAACCCAGTAAATATGAATTAAACATTTATGGTTGTATTAAATATTCGAAAGATAGGAACCAAAACAATCTATCAAGTAATTGTACATATTTGTGCATTTACAAAATGCATATTCATGAGAGCTATGTAAATATATATTTAGTCATTTCCTCTTCCATGTGAAGAGCCATGGCTGAGCTACAGATGGTAACTTTCTTGCATATAATTACAAGAATCACACAGTAAACCATTCTGGAGTTGTTCTTAGAAAAAGATCATCGTCTATTTGGCCATTCCATGAGTTCAGTGCTCTTAGAATTGTGGAGAAGAAAGTTCTAGTACATGCCTGTCCTCGTGGCAGTCATTTGAGAAAGAAATGGCAGTTGTCCCACAGATAAGTACCCTTCTATACCAGTCTTCCTCCCCATGGAAGTTGTTCTCATACTATTTTTCCATCAAGAGTCACGAAAGGGAAGATGTTTGTGTGGGGGGCATCTCTAGGGTTATGTGTGGCTCTGGTAGTCCAGCTATAGCTCCATTCTTTCTCTCTGGCTCAGAAGTCACATTGGTTGCTAGCATTGAGAATGATGATACTTTGAGGTTAATATTTAATTCATTCTAATTTATTCAAAAACATGTCCAACTTGAGTATGGTATCTATTAATAGTAACATGACTGGCAACCCCTCACAAATGCTCATGACAACTCTTGTGGATCTTTCTGCCACATCTGAGGACTCTTTGGATTAGGAAATTGCTGAGACTGTACATATTCTAATTTTGTCTTTGTTGAAGATCTGATGTGAAAATCTTTCTGGGAATCAGAATTTTTAAAAAGGATCTCTATTTCCTAAGGTGCTGATATTCTTATTAACACTTGCCAACTCAATCACTCAGCCAAGATTCTGTGAGGCCCTCCAATGTTCCTCATGTATTTTGAGGAGATTGAGGAGCGGGAGAAGGGAGAGAGAAAGATTGAGTAGGAAATATAACTGGGTCTCCATATCCCTGAAGTTGACTAGCTGGCCCCACTGCTCTGCATTCTTGAGAGAAATAGGCAGAAATAGAAATGGCATCCATATATACAGACACTGGCTGTCACTGGTTATCCCTAGGTGGGGCTTTAGCCTAGGTAGCTGGACTGATATGTGGGTAAACCCTGAGAACTCAGGATGAATGCAAAAGCAGACTTGGCATGGATCTATGTCCCTTGGATTCTCTTTTTTGGAGGTAAAGAGATTTCGATTCAATAATAAGTTAACAGCAAGAAACAACTACTGGAATGGGTAGTCAATGTGGTTACTCAGCTTGAGGTGGGCTTTCTGGATCTTCCCATCTCACTCAGAGCAAAAGCTAAAGCCCCCATCTGTGATTTGCCTCCCTAGAATACAGACTTCATCTCTCAGTAGTCCATTACTCCCCACCCCACTGGCCTCTTGTCACTCCTTGAAGCACCATGGGTCCTTTGTACCTGTTGTACCATCTGCCCAGCGTGTTCTGTTTGTCGTTGTAGGGCTATTTCTCTTTCTTTCTTAAGGTCCTTATTTAAAAACAGCTTTCCCAGTGGGGAGTTTCATGACCATCCTAGGCAAGATTTTAACTGCTGTCCGAACATTTCATTTCCTGTCCTGATTGTTTCTACTGTCTAACACATTGTACTTATTTACATCAGTTAGAGTCTGGCTCCCCACTGCAGTGCATATTTCACAAGGGTATGGGTTTTTGTCTATTTTGTTCATTGCTATATCCCCAGAATCCTGAATAATGCCAGCCACATGGTAGGATTCAATATTTACTGAATGAATCAATTACTGCATGCTTAAAAGCAAGGATACTTCATAGAGAAGCAGGAGAAAGAATCATTGCACAGACAAGGGACCAGGTGTGTGTATATATCGATATATACACATATATATCTAGATATATATGTGTATATATCGATATATACATATATATATATATATATATATACACACACATATATATCTCTCAGCTACAACCAAGTCGATTGGTTGATATATATATATATATATAGAGAGAGAGAGAGAGAGAGAGAGAGAGGAGAGAGAGGTGAAATGCTGACAGGTTTTCAGAGAAGTTGTCAGTTCCTACTTCCAATTTCTAATGAACCTAGGTTTTATTTTCTGTCCATAGTCTATCCCAATAAAATTATCCTTTTCTTAAACTGCCTTAAGTGGATTGGTCTTTACTGCAACTAAAAAAACTCTAAGCAAAAGGAATAGAATCAAAGTAGGAAGCTCTAATTGTTTTCTTAGCACACAGGGTGCACTGGAGGTTGGGGTTCCCGTGCAGTGAACAGTTTTGTGGGCATCTCTCCCAGATAACTAGGTCACAGACAATTGGTGTTTCCCCATGTGGCAAAGTGGAGCATGCATAGAAATACCTGCCTCCTCTCTCTCTGCTTTTCAAGCATTGCTGAATGCCTCCTAATGATTTCATCTGCTGGGAGGTCTGCTGGGTTTTCCACTTTCATAGAAGGTGGTGGTGCCAGGGGCTGATGCATGCTCTGACTGCTGACTTGAAACACGCTTTGATGAATTAGTGCAACCCGGCCAGCCATTTACTTTAAATTTTACCCTTGATTCTTCCTCTAGCAAACAATTAAGGAGCAGCAGTGGCTTCCTGCAGGGAAGACCAATGCCTTCTGTCCTCTGTGGAAACAGCTTTGGCGTTATTCCAAAAGATGAATGGCATGGACCAGGAGCTCCAGTTCCCCTCAGCTTTCAGGCATCCAAATAAGCAAACACTTAAATGTACACAATAAAATAAAATAAATTCAAATCACAAACAAGGAAACCAGTCTAGGTTACCAGCAAGTCCTATGACTTGACTTGGGGGCTGGGAAATGCATCCTTGAACTTAGCAATGCAGTAAGCCAAAGAGCACGGAGAGGTCATCTGAACAACTGGGCCCAGTGACAAGGCACCATGTCTTCCTTCTCACTGGGTGAGTTGTGCATACCAACCTCAAAAGCTCCTGAGTAAGAGGAAAATGTCTCTTTAACAGTATTAAGGGACAATTTATTATGTGTATCCTTCCAGGGAAGCACAAAGTCAGTGCAGGCCCATTGCATTTGCATTATTTCCAGACAACAGCAGCAGCAGCAGAAAAGGACACTGATTTATTTCAGAGCAAGCACAGGTGAATTTAATGTCTGTTGGGACTGAGCCAGGGAAGACTTAACCCACTCTGGGCTCTCAAGTGCTTGAGGGGGGACAGCAGGTTTTTGGAAGGGTCCCATAAGCCTCTGGCTAAATTCAGCTTCCTTAAGCCCATGTTCCTCAATCACCTGGTCAGAAAAGCTCTTGAAGAGAAAAGGGGATGGAAAAAGTCTTGTTTAGGAATAGAAAATCTGGTGCTGGTTTCTCTGGCAGCACATATACTAAAAACTGAAATGATACAGAGTAAATTAGCATGGCCTCTGCTCAAGGATGACACAAAATTTGTGAAGCATTACATATTTCTTATGTGAAATTAAAACAAAAACAAAATGAAGGAAAGCAAGCAAGCAAGCAAGAAAGAAATAGAAAATCTGGTTTTATGCCCTAACCCAACTAATTTCTTTCTCAGTGACCTGGGCAAATAATTCAGTCCTTTTGTTTTTATTGTTATTTTTATTTTTATTCTTTAATTTAAAAAAAATAATCTAGTCCTTTTAAGACCCAGGTATTTCTTTGTAAAGGAGTCTAAGAATAATCCACTTCAGGGTTGGAGTGAGGATCCAGCAAGCAAATGTATTAGAGAGTGCTTTGTGAAATACAAGCAAGCCATTGTTTGGAGCTGACATCAATTTGGGATTCCTAGCAAATAGCTTTATCCCAGAAGAATCAAGAAGATGATAATTACAATTACTCTTTAAACCTGGCATTCGCGCATTATAGAATTACAAAAGGTCATGGTAGAAAATCTGAAATAGCTCTTCCTAACCTCTTGTTGGGCACATGGAGAAGCCAGTTGTAGGGAAGAAAGTAGGCTGAATATCATGGGAGATGAAGTGAATCTTCATGACTTTTGCTCTCTGTTCCTGTCAGTATGCTTCAGAATGCCATGTATACAGTAAGAGTTCAATAAATGCTGGTAGAAGTGAAAGAATTCACTCACTGTCAAACAACCCGTGTTGCTGTTGGCAATGGCAAGTTGGAATCTTTTCTCTTGAATTCACACTCCAAGTATCTCTTCTTGCAATATCAAAACTTACAGAAAATGTGTTTGCTGGTCACCCTAGTCATATTGAAAAGGAATATGGCCCCCATAAGCCAGCAACATCCTGGTAAAAACCACTTACTTCAACTTCCAATGGCAGTTCATTGAAATCTTAAAGAGCATTTAATTGTTGTCAAACTGTCTTTCAATAACGATTTTAACATATATATCTGGACAAATTTACAAAGTGTTGCCCAGTGCATTACCTTATTTAATTTCCCGAACAATCTGCTGATGATGCTATTGGTTCCATTTCCCAGAGTAAGAAGTTGAAGCTCTGAGAGTCTGCATGACTTGCTCATTGATGTACAGACACTGCCAGCACCAGAGTTTGAACACAGAACTCTTGCTTGCAAGTGCATTCCATTAATACTATTTTATAAACTATCGAATAAACATCCTTTGCTGCTTCTGTTTCTCCTTCCTTCCTTTTCCTCTCTCCCTCTCTCCCTCTCCCATTTCCTATAAGCTCTTATTGGCATGGTGCTAGGTGCCACATGGGGGCACAGAAGCAGGGAGCAATGAATAGAACAGCCCCGTCTTTGATGAGCTGGCAATCTATTGAAGAAGAGGACCTATAGGTAAAAAGTTAATTCCAAATACAGGTGATCTTTGCTAAGCACCAACCCTGATTGAGTAGAGCCTGAAAGGGTAAACCGACAAGCATCTCACTGCCTGGAAGATGGGAGAGAGATGAACATCTGTCCAGGGCACTGCGGTAGCCTTCTTGCTGCAAAAATCATTCACGGAATCCCAGGCTGTCCCTTTCAAAATACACAGGCTTTCAAAGTCCACACCTTCCCCTTCCCTGCTCTCTTCTGTGTGATGAATGAAAGATGGGTGTGGCGCATCCTCGTAGCATCTGCAAATCGCTGATCCTTTAAAACCTACTTTTGTAAATACCAATAAAACAAGCCTCAACGTTTGTTCCTCATTCAGGAGTTCATTCAACCAGGGGCCCTGGAGGAGGGAAGCTCCTCCCTACAAACTGCTCTCCTTGCAGGGTTCTCAACTGAAACTGAAACTCATCTCCATGCTCTCCCCCTTTGCCTACCTTGCTTAATTTTAAGTCAGGTAGTCTGTAGTTCTTTCTGGCTTCCCTCCTTTGTCTCCCCTCACTCCCTTCAGCAGAACTGGTTATATTTGCCACTCCAGGTGTGTCCGGGTCTGGAAATAATACCCCCACAGGCACTCAGTAGCTATCTGTTCAATGAAAAAATGAATGGATGAAGGAAGGAATGGATAATGGCCAGGTTTAAATGCCCTGTCATTTATCAGTTGCCTGACTCTCAGGAAGGTATTTAATTTAGTTGTGCCTCAGTTTCTCATCTTCATGAGTGGTGTGTGGAAGATTACAGAAATATCGATATTTATGTACTATATAGAGCACCTGTGATTCACTCTGATACTCAAAAAAAAAAAAAATGGTAGCCATGATGATTATCATTATCATCATTAAAGAGAACTGAAAGTGACCTGAGAGTCACAAGAGGAATGTTCCTGTAGGGTGAGGAGGGTCAGGGGGATAGTGTCTGTTAGTTGTCAGGAATAGAGGATTTACATAAGCAGAGGAAAATGTTCAGGGGAAGGCATGTCATCCAGTAATACTGGGTAAAGGGAGGAGGTCTGAAATCTTCTGAAGACAAGAAGGATAAAGTGAAAAATGCGAAGTCCGGCAAGGCTGTAGAAAGAGGTGAGGGTATGAGGAAAATACATGATCAAAAGAGTCCCTAAAATTAAGTTGTTAGTGATTATTATTCAGTTATGTGCCACTGAAATATGGCAAAAACTGGGCCCAACAGGGGAAGCTGGTGCCCAGTGCCATATGAGTGGTAAGGGTAACACAGTGGTAAAGGTGACATGTTCTAGGGGCGCAGAGAAAAGACAGAGACACTGTCCTTGGGCATCTGAGAGAGGCTTCATCATGAGCACTAGCTCGTCAAAGATTTCTTCCTCCTCTCTTGCTCTCTCACTTGCTCACTCACTTATTTCAGATATATTCTTGAATACCTGCTAATTTTCTAGATGTAGAGTTGGATGATATAGACATAGCTAGAATAAGACAGACTCAGTCATGGAGCCCTGGGTTCCATGGTGTTGATGGGGAACATGCCACTGGAGGCAGAGACAATGGCATGACAAACAGCACAGAGAACTTTCAAACAAACATGGTCTTTCACAGGCAACCCAAAGGGAATGGCAGGGATGTGCACAGCCCAAATGTCCTTTGGATTTGAGGCTGACATAACATGCCAGAAGAAGGAGCAGATGGAAGATGGTAAACAGGGAGATTCATGTTTCAGAAGGATGCCTCTGGTGGCAGGAGGGCTGGAAGAGAATGAGATAACCCTTTTAGAGAAATAATAGTGGAGATGGTGGAGGGTTTCTGGGAGGAGGCAAGGTTAACTATAGATTCAAATGGTGATGTGAAAGGATGTTTCTGGATGCAGAGTTATCACTATAGGCAAGAGTGAAGGAGAGTGCACCAGCCACTTAGCTGGAGGCTGGGAAGAGGCAATGAGCTCCTGAATGGGAGAAGAAGGAGCCTGAGAGTGGAGAGGAGACAATCTTCAATGTGATAGTCGTTCAGGTCCTAACTGTGACCAACAGGACTGATGGTCCAGTTCCATGAGGTGCCAACTCTAACATTTCCCCTCCTCAGGAATTCACCCTAGATCTCTGAGAAGAAGGGGTAGGTTTATTGGTGTCATCCCCATTCTTTGTGGTGGGATAACTATGATGTTGGAGGAAGAGTCAACCAGTTCACCTAAGGCTGAATTTGAGATTCAAAATGACTTTGGATGGAAAGGGAAGAAGTGAACAGCAAATCACTCAAAATTCCATGTGTAAAAATAGAACAAATGTGTCTTGATTTATTATCACCTTTGTGAAATCTCTTCTATCCAGTTAGGTCTTGTGCCAGGGGAAGTGGCATGAAGAAAAGTCAATGTAAAGAATTTTGTAAAATCTCTGTCCTTTGCTTGAGTTTCTTTCCCTCTCAGGTTCTCTTTCTCTGCTGCATGCCACATTCCGAAGAACACAGACAGAAATTCCCCAAAGTTTTCTTTCTGCCAAGGCCCCTCTTCTCCCACAGCACTTTTTACATTTCCCCAGTTATGGTTCCTTAACTATAGACATCATCATTATTTTTCCTACATGGAGGGAGCACTGAACACTTTTCTCTAATGACCCCATCATTTAAACCAGGGTCCAGCATACCCCTGAATAAATGAATGTTTGCTGAATAAACTGTATGATTAGCAGTGGCTAACGTGTGTTTCGGCATTCTCTGTAGTGACTGCTTTTGCAAGGGATACTTATGGAGATGAGGGGAAGAGAAAGTGTTAGGAAAAGACACTCCTGTGCACTCTTCTTGTCACTGCCCATTCTGTGTACTTAAAAGGAAGAATTTGCTCCAGAGGAAACTGCATGTGGTGTCCTGCAGTGGCTCATAAATTCCAGTGGAAGAAACAGCTGGGCTAGTTGCCTAAGAATCTCTAGACATTCTGAATCAGTAGTTTCGGGGTGGACCCTGGAATGAAAAAAAAAAATGTATCTCTGTATCTCTGTATTTCTGTATCTCTGTATCTATCTGTCTATTATCTATCTATCTATCTATCTATCATCTATCATTTACCTGTCCATCCATCCATCCATCTATCCATCCATCTTCCCAGTCATCCCAAAGTTTGGGCAGTGTTATTGAGAGACAAGAACACCACCAGTGCAATTTGGAGACATTGGTTGGAATTTGGGGTCCACCACTGATTAGTAACTGGGACAGTAGCTTATTTTCTTTAAGCTTTGGGGACCCCATCTGTAAACTGACAACAATAATCTATCTCTCAGGGCTCTCAGGAGATTTAAATGAGTAGCACTTGTAAACAGAAGAGGCTCATAGTAGGTTTTCAGTTAATGATAGCTGAATTTGAACATACATGAGAGAAGAAACAGCAGGGAGACCAAGGTTTCTGGGATAGCTTATAACCAAGCATGAAAACTAAAGCGTTTAGATATAAGTAGAACTTGATGATTCATCTGCTGTGTTTTAAATTGCTCGGGCTGTGGCAACAAAGAAAAATCCATCTTCTGGGGGGCATGAGGAAATACTTCTTGGGCAGTTGTCAGTCCAATCCAGAAAGTAATAGGATTAACCCCCAGAAAAGTCAAGAGCTGAGAAATTCATACTGTGATCAGTGTGAGAATCTCTCTTTGCTTGGGGAATGGGAGAGTGACCACTCCTGTAGGTGCTACCAAAGGGC